TCCTAAATCTAGAAGGTTGTCGTCCTAAATCTAGAAGGTTGTAGCCCTAAATCTGGAAGGTCATTGTCCTAAATCTGGAAGGTCGTAGTCCTAAATCTAGAAGTTTGTAGTCCTAAATCTGGAAGCTTGTAGTCCTAAATCTGAAAGGTTGTCGTCCTAAACTTGGAAGGTTGTCGTCCTAAATCTAGCAGGTCATAGTACTAAATCTGGAAGGTCGTAGTCCCTAAATCTAGAAGCTTGTAGTCTTAAATCTGGAAGGTTGTCGTCCTAAACTTGGATGGCTGTAGTTCTAACACCAGGATGGTTGGTGGAAGTTTCAGTGCGTACTCAGTGTGCTGGGTTACCTGAGCTTTCTTGCCGTAATACGGGTAATACATGAGGTTGAAGGTTCCGTTTGGAGGATAATAAGCCAGAGGTCCAATCTTATCGCTGTCTTCCCTCTGTGCACACAGACAGACTGATCAATTCCTTCAATCTGATCGATCATCAAACCACTTCTACTGAGCTGTTTCTGTACAAAGGTCTACTGTTTCTGTACAAAGGTCTACTGTTTCTGTACAAAGGTCTACTGTTTCTGTACTAAGTTCTACTGTTTCTGTTCTGAGTTCTACTGTTACTATGCAGAGTTCTACTGTTTCTATACAGAGTTCTTCTGTTTCTGTTCTGAATTCTACTGTTCCTATACAGAGTTCGACTGGGGTCAGGACCAGTTAAACATGATCTCTATTTAAGGTTCTACATTCTACGATCTTCCCAGTCTTACCCACTCATCTTTCCCCACTTTGTAACTCTGAGGATGAAGACAAAAGACGAGATGAAGACAGACAGACAGGTAGACAGACAGAGAGACAGGTAGAAAGACAAGTAGGGTCACACCTTGGCTCCACAGGTGACGTATGGAGATTGACCATCCTTCCCTGGTAACATCCCGATTACCTGGAGACACAGACAGGTAGAAGGACAAACAGGTGAGGACAGACTGAGTGGGAAGACAAACAGGTGAGAGACAGACAGGTAAAAGGTGACCTTACCCGATTAAGTTTGATGAGGATGCAGGGCTGACCTCTGTTGTAACCATAGAAACGGTCTGACATCCCAGAACAATCCTCCAACATCGTCCGATTGAATTGACAGGAACGCTTGGGGTTGTTCCTTACCTGGAGATAGGTCCACAGAGAGAGAGAGACAGGTGAGAGGGGGAGACAGGTGAAAGGGGGGGACTGGTACAGAGAGAGATACAGGTGAGAAGGGCAGACACGTACAGAGTGAAAGACAGGTGAGAGGGGGAGACAGGTGAAAGGGGGGACTGGTACAGAGAGAGATACAGGTGAGAAGGGCAGACAGGCACAGAGAGGGAGACAGGTGAAAGGGGGGACTGGTACAGAGAGAGAGACAGGTGAGTAGGGCAGACAGGCACAGAGAGGGAGACAGGTTACCTCTCCGCTGTCCTCCTGGATGAAGTATTGATCAGGAGGACAGTTATCATTGGTCTGAACCTGATAGCTGTCGTTGTAGGCTGGAGACAGACAGGTAAAAGTAGAGAGGGAGACAGGTAAAACAATTATCCACTCACATTATCGAATGATTAATTAGGAAGCGTCTTACGAGACAGGAAGGAGTTGAGGTTGTGGACGAGGCCGTCCCAGCTCTCAGTGTCGGAGACTGAGAAGGTGATCTCCAGCTGGTCGCCTTTTGGACGAATCATCATCCCTGAAAACAGAAGGAACTGCTGGTTAACCAATCAGAGACTGACCGCTGTTAGACAACCAATCAGAGACCGTTCGCTGTTAGACAACCAATCAGAGACCGATCGCTGTTAGACAACCAATCAGAGACCGATCGCTGTTAGACAACCAATCAGAGACTGATTGCTGTTAGACAACCAATCAGAGACCGATCACTGTGAGACAGCCAATCAGACTCTGAACGCTGTTAGACAGCCAATCAGAGACTAAGCTTCATTAACAAATCAGTGAATGCCTCGTTACGCAGGAATAGCCTGCCTGACCCATCATTAGTGGTTAACCACCTCACTCTGTTAGGGTTAATGTCTGGTTAGTGACTAACCTCTGGTCAGTGGTAAAGCTTTTTTTCTGTTATGGTTAACTTCTGGTTAGTGGTTAACCCACTCACTCTGTAGGATTAATGTCTGGTTCTTGATTAACCTCTGTGTAGCAGTTAACCACTGTGGTTGGTTAACCTCTGGTTGGTGGTTAACCTTGGTGGTTGGTTAACCTGTAGTTGGCTAATCTCTGGCTGGCGGTAACCCCTGTGGTTGGTTAACCTGTAGTTGGTTAACCTCTGGCTGGCGGTAACCCCTATCGTTGGCTAACCTGTGGTTGGTTAACCTCTGGCTGGTCGTAAACCCCTGTGGTTGGTTAACCTCTGGCTGACGGTAACCCCTGTGGTCGGTTACCTCTGGCTGTTGGCTAACCCCTGTGGTT